ATTTTGAGTGGGGTCCAGAATGAGAAAAGGGCACAGGCCGGAGTTGAGTGCATTATAAAAAGTACCTTAGCTAAATTTGTAACTAAATGGGATACTATATCAGAAAGAATCATTATGGTACAATTAAGGCTTGAAGACAAGAACACGATACACATATTAATACTGTATGGCCCAAATGAAGATGAAAAAGCTGAAGTAAAAGACAAGTTATGGGATGAAGTTACGGAAGTTGTAGACAGCTTAAACGGAGATATTATTGTTCTGGGGGATCTAAATGGAAGAGTTGGTATTCAGGATTATGAAAGCGGCGATGTCGTAGGAAAAAATGGAGAGGCTATAAGAAATAACAACGGGACTAGAATTATAGAGTTCTGTATACAGAATGATTTATTAATCATGAACACCTTTTTCAGACACAAAGAAATCCATCAGTACACGAGAGAAGTTAAAAGTCGAAATGAAAAATCCATAATTGACTACGTATTAGTATGTAAACGATTAAGGCGATATATAAAAGACGTACGAGTTAAAAGAGGCCCCGAAATAAACAGCGATCACTACCTGGTCTTAGCAAAAACCAAACTAGGCTTTCAAAAACCAGATCAAATAGAGAGACCACGGAGCAGCGTAACAAGAGAAGTAGTCAGGTCGTATAGATTGAACAACAGGAATACTGCCGTGAGTTACAGGAAAAGAATACAAGAGCTAATTGAAACTCAACCAGTCAATGAGGAACAAAATCTAGAAATAATGTGGGAAAATTTTAAATTTATACTATTAAAAGCAGGGAAAGAAATCTGTGGAACAACGAAAATTAACAAAAGCAAAAGACAAACCGCTTGGTGGAATGACGACATCAAACATGAAATTAAAATGAAAAAAGCGGCATGGAAAAACTATTTATGTGGCAGAAACATGGATAAATATGAAGTATATAAGAAACATAGAGAAAGAGTGAAGCAACTTGTAATATTATCAAAGAAAAAGTCATTGGAAGAATTCGGTCTAAAAATTGAACACGATTTCCACGCAAATAAAAAGCTATTTTACAAAGTCCTTAAAAATCTTCGATGCAATAACACAGATGAAACAAATAAACGATAAGAATGGAATATTACTAATGAATGAAGAAGACATTATTAAGAGATGGAAACAATATTTTGAGGATCTTTTTGAAGGGCAGAGTGATCAGAAAAATTTTGTCGTGGAAAGTAGGGCCACATCTCAAGAGGAAGATATGATAGAGTTAGAGGACGTCCATTGCACCATACAGAAACTTAAAAAAGGAAAGGCGGCGGGACATGACGGCATCACCGCAGAAATGCTGAAAAACATGGGAGAAAAGGGAGAAGAAATACTAACAAAGATTTGTACTTTAGCGTGGAACGAAGGAAAAATCCCAAATGATTGGAAAATAGGGGTCATCGTACCAATTTTTAAAAAGGGTAATAAAAGGGATTGTAATAATTATCGAGGAATCTCACTTCTTAGCATTGCCTCTAAAGTTTATGAGCGAATACTGGAAGCAAAACTCGTAAATCAAATTGACAACCAACTTGAGGAATCGCAGAGTGGATTTAGGAAGGGCCGTAGTATACAAGATCATATATTTACAATTAAACAAATAACGGAAAAAATTAGAAATACAAATGTCCAAGTTTACCAAGCCTTTCTTGATCTTGAAAAAGCCTTTGACAGACTTCCAAGATCTGAAGTTCAGAAAACCCTAATAAATAAAAACATTGACCAAAACTTAAGAAGAGCAATAATCAGTTTTTATTCCGACACTAGAAGCTATGTAAGGACCGATAATATGCATTCAGAAGAGTTTTCAATTCGTGAAGGTGTTAGACAGGGAGGTGTCCTAAGCCCAATTTTATTCAATTTAGTTATGGATGATGTAATGAAAGAAACCAGACGAGAGACATCTACACATTTCTAGGTAAAAAAGAGGTATCATTGAAGACCAAAATCAGCGTGTTTAATTCAGTATTCGTACCAATATTAACATTCGGTAGTGAGAGTTGGGTTCTCACCAAGAGACAAAAAAGCTTAATACAAGCAGTAGAAATGAAATACCTACGAAAAGTGCTAGGGATTACGAGGATGAATAAACTACGCAATTCCCATATTAGAGAGTAGCTGAAAGTCCAGCCAGTACTAACAACTATCGAAAACTGCCAGTTGAGGTGGTACGGACATTTGAAAAGACTCAACAAAGAGAGACCAGTAAGAAGAGTATGGGAGGCAAAAAGGCAAGAAAAAAGGAAAAAGGGTAGACCTGCAACTACTTGGGATCAAAATGTTGCAAAATTACTTAAAACTAGAGGGATCGGCTGCGCCGAAGCAGCAAGCATGGCCCTGGACAAGAAGAAGTGGTAAAATTTTATTTATGGAAAGTAGCTACTAGAAGCCTACACCTTCGGGTAGAAGGCCCTCGATTATATATATTATATATATATATATATATATATATATATATATATATATATATATATATATATATATATATATATATATATAAGTTGTCCTTACCACTCTTCGTCTCGCCGTAGCTTGTGTGTCACGGCCTTGAATTTTTATTCCCAGGGCACGTAAAAAAGTTTCACTTCAAAAAATGTCAGATGCTTTATTAAGGAAAAGAGTAAGCTGAATGTATTATTATTATTAGAAGAAAATCGTAATGCTTCTACTCGAGAAATATTGGCTCAAATGGACGTTTCTCAGAGTAGTCTTCATAGAATCCGCGACGGACCGTCCGCTACTTCGAGCAAGTACCATAAGTTTATATGAACAATTTCACATGGGCGCGTAGGACGAACTCCGTCCGACGGAGTTCGTCAGATAGCTATCTTGAAAAAACACGACGGACGGTCCGCTCCATCTGAAAGCGCTGTTAGCTTAGTACTCATTTGGAATGTAGGCAGTGTTGCCATTCTGTTCCCCAATAAGTAACCGTCCAGTTAACAATCTGTATATCGTCTTTATCAATTGGAACTTTTTATTCTTAATCTAAGATTGGAACTACCTACATCACGATCTAAATGACTTTATCAATGGAATGAATTTCGGAATGCATATGCTTAACACAGTTAATGAAGATTGGGGAATTTAACTATATTTCATATCAATTAAAGTTTAAGTTACGTAATCGAGGGCGTGATTTTTAAATTCATTGTTGCCAACCATGGACATATTCGGCGCCGTGCTGACTAACTGGAATTTAAATTTCGCGCTGGGGACTCAGGTGGTAGCTCTGCTGTAAAAAATGTCAAGTTGCCGCATTTATTTATTTGTTTCCTGAGATTTGTCCTTCGTTTTGACACTTTAGTTTTGAATTACGAGTTTTTGGTTTAAATAAATAGTCTTGTGATACTTTAAGCCTAAAAATACTAGTTCATAAGCCTAAAAATAAGCCTTTAAGCCTAAAAATACTACTAAAGTTTACTAGCAATAAACCTTGCAGTCGAATATTGTTCTTTTTAGAACCTCTTTTAGTGTCCAAGTTTAAGTGTCCAAGATAGCTTAATAGCCGTTGCAAAAAACTTATCGCAACTTTATTACAATAATTTGAACGAGACAGTGGTAGTAATGGACCTTTATGTCCCTTAAGTGCTGTTTGGTTTGGTTTGTTGATATAAATAATAACTGTTTATATATTTATAATTAATTTATTTTTGTTTCCTAAAATATTTTGATTTAAAGAAAATATGTAAAAGTGGGCAACGCTGTGCCGGTCAAGCTTATAATCACGCGACTATTTGGTATGAACTGTAATATCTTATTTTCCGATGAAGCTACCTTTAAAAGTAATGGATTAGTAAACAGACGTAATATTAATTATTATGTAACAGATAGTCCCCATTGTAGTAGATATAGTTATGCCACTATTAATAATAAACGCCTACTAGTGGATGAGTGAATGTCAGATCTTGTCTTATATTTTCAAAAAATTACAATTTTCTCATTAGATATCGATTTTAGGTATAAGAAGTGCTTAGTTCGATTATGACACAAAATACCGCCAGTTCCATTTAGAATACTGGATAAAAGTACAACATTTAGTTCTGACTCGCCCTGTATATATGAAACAAAATTGCAAATTTTGGTAGACCGAATTTTGAAGAAGACACATTATACAGTGCTTCCTGTTCTTGTTGTAAAACATTCTTCGAATTTAGAATTTTAACAGGGCTTTAAATAGGGGTAAATTTAGTTTAGAAACGATTATATTTCAAAAAACCACTCGCTATAGTATATGACATTTGGAACAAAAATTTAGTGGCAAATCAACTGAGCTAAAAAAATTGACGCCGGGAGACACGTACAGCCGCCCATACTAAAATATGTTAATAAAAAGTTGGTAGGCAGTTCTTTTAGTTTCAAAGTAAAGGAATTTTTCCAATTTTTTTTATCTCAAAAACTGCGACTTTGACTGATTTTGATGTTTGATTCCTAATCTTATATTGAAAACCGCGTTTCGCTAGCTACTGTAATTTTGGAGTTACGATTTTTTAAAATTTCTAACTCCCTCCCATACCCCCTTACCAACCTCTCACCCCCACCAAAAACTAATGGCCAGATTCTCGGGTGCCACAGTATTTTTGTGCCAAATTTGGTTAAAATCGGTTTAGCGGTTTTTGAGTTATCGTGTTACGGACAGACAGACAGACACCATGAAAATATTTTGTATTTAGGTCATTTATGACCCAAATAACTCATTTTGAGTGAAATTAAAAAAAAAAACTTTTTTTGCCGATCTTAATAGCCTACCATACCTATTGGTATGGTCGGCTAAAAACGAGGCTAAAAATATATAGTATTCCATTTAAAAATATACAACTTTAGTTAGAAAATATGTTTTAATCACCCTGTATGTTGATAAAAATATTCTCAAAACGTGCGTTACAACTGCACCAACATTATGTAAAAAATGAAATTCCCAAACCAAAAACCTAATAGGTAGTATAAAGAATAAAAACATTATCAAAATAACTTACGTTTCTTCGAGCAAATAACTTTAGCGGCGTACTTTTTCCTAGGCGAATTTTTAACTATATCCAATGCCATCGCGATTTAATCGTAATTACAACGATGTAAATAAACAATCACTGGCTTAACTGACGTGCATGAATTGGCATAAAACAGTTGCTGTCTTGCTAGTACAAAACTGCAACAGTTAGTTGAAAAGTCGACAGCAAGACTGGGTTGGCGAAAAAGGTTCAAGTCGTGGCCCACTTTGTGCTCATTTTATTCGCATGAAACTGTCCACTTTTGCAGTGGAGATGGCTGTAAGTGCGTGTGATGTTCAGTGTATGTGCAGAAAATTTTAAACAGTTTATGTTTATCTGTTCAATTTTATTTGCTTTACTAATTAGTACATTTATACTTTATGTGGTAAAAAAATAAATGCAATTTGTTTCTTTATTGAAAGATTAAAAGTTTTCTTTTTGTAGATATTAAAGCTCCGTCTACACGTAACATTTTACCTGTCAGTCTTTCCTGTTCAATCAAAACGTATCAAGTAAAAGCTTTTTGGGTGGTCGAAATTGGTATATTAGTATTATTATTATTATTAGAAATCGAGCCCATCTATATCGGTATTACATACGGATATAGATGGGCTCGATTTCTGAGACACGTTTAGTGGCGTAAACCGCCTGTTGATATTTTCACCGCCAACCGAGATACGGGGTATTTTTGAATTTTTTACTATTTTGAAAATTGCTCATAACTTTTTTATTTTGCGGAGTAATAAAATTCTGTAAAAACGTTCTTAGGGCACTTTTTTAAGCACAATCCAGTGGCGTAGTCAGTTTTTTTCTATGCTTGCTCTTTTTGTCACAAATAATGAAAAATATAATTTTTTAAATGGAAATCATAGTTGGCTGTAAACTTAAAAAAGTGCTGGCGTTTAACCCTTTTCAATGATATAAAGTTAAGGGTATCTATTTCTAAAAACGAGAGAAATATTAGGTTTTTTATCTTTATACCGAAGCGGGCCTTGATTTTGTGTTGACCTATGTGCCTAATTATTTTTTATCACAATATAATATTCAATATTATTGTTTATCTGCATAATTAAAAACTTTTGGAAATGTAAATTAACATTCTATATTAGTTTTAGTAATTACAATTGAAATCGATACAATAAACAAAGAACAAGACTAAAAAATGTATTTTTTGTGTGGCGAATATAGTTTTCTAAAAAAAATCATCAAAGATTTTCAAACTGAGCATCTCCTTGTTGAATACACAATAAACATCTTTTTCGCACAGAGCTACAACGATTTATTACGCGAACTAGTGTAATAAGTCCAAAAGCTTGCCTAGTATTCTTCTGGAATTCTTCTCTCGTCCCATTGGTGCCTCCCTTATAGATAAGGTCTTTTAATTTCCCCCATAAAAATGTTGAAAGGAGTTAAATTACAGGACCTAGCAGGCCTAGAAATGGGGGCCAAGATATAGAGCCCTTTGTTCCAATCCAATTCTCTCTAAATTCTCCATTTAATAGTGCAGTTGTAACCCTGACGTTTTAATAGCAAATGCTAATAGTAATATAGAATGTTGATTTATCTTTTCAAGAGTCTTTAATTATGCAGATAAATAATAATATAGAATATTAAATTGTGATAAAAAATAATCAGACAACTATAATAATAGGTCAACACAAAATCAAGGTACGCTTCGACACAAAGATAAAAAACGTAATATTTCTCTCATTTTTAGAAATAAATACACATAACTTTATATCGTTGGAAAGGGATAAACGCCAGCATTTTTTTAAATTGATAGCCAACCAATTTCTATTTAAAAAATTATATTTTTTATTATTTCTGACAAAAAAGCAAGTATAGAAAAAACTGACTACGCCAGTGAAGTGTGCTTAAAAAAGTGCCTTGAGAACGTTTTTACAGAATTTTATCATTCCGCGAAATACAAAAGTTATGGGCAATTTTCCAAATGGTAAAAAATTAAAAAAGACCCCATATCTCAGTCAGCAATGCAAATATCAACAGACGGTTTACGCCATTAGACGTTTCTCAGAAATCGAGCCCATGACATCTATGTCGGTTTTGCTCTATCTAGTCAGGAAATAGGTTTTCTCTGTTAAAACAGACCAATTTCGACCCACCCTGTACACAAAAAACGGTCCGTTTTACTTAAAGTGAATTAAGATGGAAGAGTGTCTAGAGAACTTACGTTCAGTTTTACAAAAAAAAACTGTCGTTTTGCCTACACTGAAAAAACATAAGTAAATTTACAAAAAATAATATAGACATACTAAAGCATCTTAAATAAGCGTTTTGTATAATTTCACAATACATTGTATAGGTAGTATGTGGCTAAATTGGAAATACATAGTAAATATTTTTCGGGAATAATAGAAATCTATTCCTGGATAATCGATTTAAATATTGTAATCATGAATTAACAACATGATTTGCCGATAGCCTTTAATAGGTTTCGAATATTGAGGCTGGAACAAAATTATTTCATGCAGGTATGTAATTTGAATAAACACAATAAAAGCAGAATTAATGTGAAGTGGGTTAATTCGTTATTTATAAATACAGGGTCCGGCAATAGTGCGTCGGGCATCTGTAGCTCCTAGAATAAAAACTTGGAAATTTTGTTTAAGTGTAAACCTAAAGCATGTACGGGGATGTATTTCAGGAAAATATTTTAACTTCTAGAGGATGGCTCAAAAAAGTGTGAGTAGATCGGGATTTTTTTTACTGGAATACCCTGTATATTATTGCATTTTTAGCTTCCCTTCAGATCACTTTACATAATCCTAGGTTATCAGTAAATATTTTTGTATAGTTTCAGAGATATTAATAAATAAATAAAAAATATATGTATATGTTTCAGCCTTTCTTAAAAAAAATATTAAAAATACATGCAAGAACTGTCTTGAAATCAAAATTATATTAGGTACCTATTTACTTTAGATTGTGTAAACTGATTTTGCTATAAATAAAGCAATATTAAATCATACAGGATATTTAGAATTGTACGCCAAACTTTCTAAAATATAAAATAATTTTTCTTTCTTTGTTTTTTTTTAATGGAACGCCCTGTATATTATTTTTTCATTAGATGGAGAATTAAAAAATGAACATTTCTTGTATTTAAAGTATTTCAGAACTTTTAATGGATCCGCAGATACACGTAGTATTATTTCATATAGACTCTCTCGTATTTTAAAGAGAAAAATTATTGGGTGGCTTCGATAAAACTTTACTGTGGAAAATTCTATATGAAACATAAAACCGCAAATATCTGCGAAACCATTAAAAATTTCGAAATACTCTAAATATAAAAATGTTCATTTTTTAATTCTCCATCTATCAAAAAAATAATATACAGGGTGTTCCATTTAAAAAAACCAAGAAAAATTATTTTATATTTTAAAAAGTTTGGCGTAGAATTTTGAACATCTTGTATGATTTACGATTACCATATTTATAGCAAAGTAAGTACAGACTATCTAAACTAAATACCTAATATTGTTTTGATTTCAGGACAGATCTTGTATTTTTAATATTTATTTTAAGAAAAGCCGAAAAATATATATATTTTTTATTTATTTAATATCTCTGAAACCAAACTGAAACTATCTAAATATATTTACTCATATATCGTAGGATTATGTAAAGTGGTCTGAAATGGAAGCCAAAAATCCAATAATATACAGGGTGTTCCATTAAAAAAAATCATTCCGATCCACTCCCACTTTTTTGAGCAACTCTATAGAGGTTAAAATATTTTCCCGAAACACATTCTAGAACATACTTTAGGTTTGCACTTAAACACTATTTTCAAGTTTTATCTTCTAGGTGCTACAGATGCCCGACGCACTATTGCCGGACCCTGTATAGTGTGGAGATGCGAATTTATGGACAGTTTTTCTGTGTTAAAAATTATGAGAAATTACACCCTTGTAACTTTTTTATTTTTTTCAGATAAAAAAACGAGATTTGGTAGGTATGTTAGTATATCACATAAATTAGGATTAATTGGCGTATTCAATTGTTTTTGGTCACTTGCTTCACAGGAAATGACAACTTTTGATTTTTAAATGGCACCCTCGTTATATTTCTACTTCATTTTCATTAGATAGAAAATGACATCTTCAATAGAATGACATATCATATGTCAACTTTTGACATTTTCGCATATGGTTTATTTTAAATTATAACATGCGTTTCAGAACGAACATTTGACTCGAAATACCACACACTTAGTATGAAATTATTCGTAAAAAAATGCCTTTTTCAAATATGCTAATGAGCCACCCTTGTTCCATTTGAAAAAAAATTAGATATGATTAAAAATACGATTTGGGCATCCCCTAAAACCGCGCTTGTATGACCTAATAATGCATTAGTACATACATACAGGTTGTTAATTTGTTTATTACTTGCGGCAAGAGCTTTATGGTTGAAATATGGCAACCTCAGCCCGCTCGTCGAGAGACGACGCGACGCGACGGGACGAGTCGGCAGCTAGCTTAGTTCTCATTTGGTTTGTAGGCAGTGTTGCCATTCTGTTCCCCAATAAGTAACCGTCCAGTTAATAATCTGTAAATCAATTTTGTATACTGTGATTTTCCCTTGGATTTTCCTGTGAGTAAAATTCCATAAAAATCTTGTCTGTTATTTGTATTTAAATTTATGTTTATATTCAAGAAAATATTAAAAAATTAGATCCATAGATTATAAAACATACATAGTTTGTATGTGTGAAAATAATAGACAATTAGAATTAAAAAAATATTTAATTTTAACCACGTCCCTCATATCTTAACTAATAAAACGCGGAATAAGTCAGGCATGGAGCGAAAAATTAAAAAGTTAAAATTTAAGTATTAGGCACATCTATATAATTAGTGTTTCATCTTATTCGTGTTTGAATTAAAAAGAAAAATATCATAGAAGTACGTAGGTAAACACTTACCTCAAGTTGGAAAATAAAGCAATTTCCTCTTCACAAAACATACAATTTTGAAAACAAACCAAAAGCGTTTAAATCAAGTGGAAATTAGAGCTGTTAAATACTGTGACACTAAGTAAGGTAAATTGACATTCAATATATTGTTTATAAATTTTATGAAAAAATATTCAAGCCATTTTTTATTACGAATTTGTTATTTTTTCCTTTTTAAATTATGATTTTATTTAATCGCTATTTTTACAAACGCGCTGAAAATAGGAATATAATGGCATTACACACTCTAAAGTACAAAATAAAAAATCAATTTATCAAATATGACCCTAAAAAATCATTGTTTACATAAATATAAAGAAGAATAAATTGGAAAATGTTACAATCAATATTTAAAATAAATTAAATTGATTTGCCTTAAAACCAAACCAGGATATATTTTGGTAAAACTATAAATATTGTATAATTACTTGCCTAATCCCCAACGATTGCTTTTCATTACTGCTACGCAAAAAAAACTACGGCACCATTTATGCTGTTGATACTGAAACACTGAAAATTTTGTTCCTGAAAATCACTGAAAACAAAGAATTATTTAAAGCGGCGGCCTCTATACGAAGTTTTTTAAATGAATATACTCAAGAAATCTTTTATATAAGTATTATTTCAGTTAGCGCCATCTACCCTCCACAAGCTTGAACTCGCTACGGCTATCAAATGTGGTTCAAATGGGTTCAAATATTACCCAGGGCTATATCCTGGCTATATCTTTGATATTACCCCAATCATCCCCAATCTATGCCCGGAAGGTATCAAGGATGTTACCCATATTTTACCTGATTCATTTAATCTATGGTTACATATTCCACTTTTGACTCTTGAATTTTGTGAGGGTTGTGTATAAAGAACTCATACAGTTGGATACAAAATTATAAATAATATTTATTTGGATGGATAGATTTGTTGTACAGAATAGGAATATTGGTAAAGGTGTGGATCCGGTGGCTGACCTTGAAGGCCATATTTACTGCATTTGATCATTGATACTACGCAGGCGCACATCGTCGATGTTGCCAAATTGCAGTTTATTTTCGAATTATTTGCAGTTGAATTTTTTTTTCAGTGTTAATAATAATACAAATTCTATAATTAATTTTATAATTTCAGATTTATCTTGATATCCAAAATTAAGGTAAGAAGGATAATGAAGATTGTGAAATGAAAGTATTATGAATATATAAAATTGTACGTAATAATAACAGAGATATGGAAGTGGTTGAATAATAATAACATTTATTTATATATTTACATTAGAATTAAAAATTATCATTTACGGATTTTTTCTAATGGTTTTAAACTTATTAGAATTATTTTATTTCTTTCAAGTTATTTAATTTCTAGTTATTTACAGGCAACAATAGTTTTCATTATATTATGTATATTGATGTTTTGAAATATTACCATGACGAGTCTTATAGAACAATACACGTCAATGGGAGATAGAGGTAACATATCCGCAGAACATGTATAAGCAGAATTACACAAGGTAAAACTGTTAATGTTGCTGAAGCTGATTCTACAATTTTAATTACGGAGGCTAAAAGGCCTTTTAAGGCCTCCGTAGTTTTGATGGAATGTTAAAAAAACCCATTATGAACATGACATCTACAGCATTTAAAAATTAAAAAAAGGAAAACTGGGACATATAATTTCCAGAATTTTTAATAAAGCCCTTTTTAAACGTAGCATAATAATCTAGAGCAATTAGATTAATTATAGGAATCTAGAGTTTTATTTCTATTTAATTTTATTGACTATGAAAATACATAATAAGCGTTCACGTGTTGTGCGAAATATTAAAATAATAATATAAATCCTTGATATAAATAATATACCGCGTACTATGATTGAAAAAAAAATAGCGTTAGCCGATGACTATGAAATGAAGATCGCTGTCATTTTATATGGGAAATGTCCTCAATCGTCATTTCCCAGCCAACTGGACGCCGTTTTTTCGATCATACGGTATATATTGACAAAAAACACTGAAAAGCACATATTTGTTTTCTACTGAAAATAATTCCAAAATAACTTACAATCTGGCAACATCGAAGATGTGCGCATGCGTAGTGTATGTGACTATATGCAGCAGAAACTCGTTTCAAGGTCAGCCACCGGATCCACACCATTACCGGAATATTTTATAATGGTTATAATCTCAGAGTAATATAATTTTCAAACATAATAATAGATTCAAACACTTTCCTTCTGAATAATACATATCCTTTTTCATAAATCATACATGTATAACTACATATTGCATTTAGATAAGCATAATCATTATCTAGAAACTTATATTTTTAATAAATATTACAATTATGAAGTCAATATACCCTCATGAGTTGTTTTATCAGTTGGCATTAAAATAAAATATTTAAAAAGGTCTATCAGTGACGTAACACGGGCGATAATTTAAACGTGATCGATCTGTACTCAAAGATCTGTACTGATCTGTACCAAGGATATCTGTACACACAGTCTGTACATTTGAAAGTAAGTATACCATCCTTTTTTCTGCCATGATTTCAATGTCATTGTTCATTGTTGTCATTATTCTGTGTTGCTCTGTGGTTTGTTAGAAAAGCGTCCCAAATTTTGTAATTTTTTTATTTATTATTTATACACAAGGTTTATACGAATATTTTTTATGACCGGAAGTTCTGTTTATGTATAATGTTTAGGCCAAAAATTAGCATGGATAGATAGGTTAAATGCTATGGTGAAAAATTTCCTTATAAAAATTATTTTTACTTTTCAAACACAATATTCTTTAGGAGGATGTCACCAAACTAACCAAAGAGGAATTTCTGAAGTTTTTAAATTGTTCACTTCGTTCAACTAGTACTCAAGAAATTGTTGTTCCAGGTCCGAGTAATTCTATAGTAACCCTCGTGAAACGTTTTGGAAACCATGGAGCTTGTAATGTTGTTCTCGACGAATTCAGTTTGAACAACCAGATTTTGAGAGTGCCCTTGCCCAAAGTAGATTTACAAAGTATTATACTATTTTAAAAGTAATATACAGTGTCGTCAAAGCTCAACTCTAAATATTTTCCTGTGTGAGCATATACAGTGTGACCCAGTGTTCTGAAAATGTACCATATGATCGAAATAAAACAGCGTCCAGTGGAAATGAACATCGATGACATTCCCATATAATTTTACATGTTAAATGACAGCGATCTTCATTTCATAGCCAATGTTGGCGTCGTGTTTTTTTATAATAGGGTGCTATATTATAAGGTTTGTTATTTGGCTCCTATCCTTGTTAAAATCTGCAGTTAATATTAGCTGCAATGGATGCAGTTTTATAATGAAACGCTTTTTATTATTTTGCACAGTGAATTTGCGATAAAATTTTTATTCTGAAAATAGCAATACAAGTGCTTCCCTTGTAGGCATATTTTATAAAAAAAAATGGTGTGAAAATCTCGAATAGGAAACAGTTTATGTGAAACGTTTAAGTCAACACTGGAGCACTCTGTGTACCATTACACCTACCATATTTTATTTTTTATCCAGATTTGTCTATACCAAGCTATTGAACAGCACTGTATAGAAATAAATTAAACTGAATAATAATTATTTTCAGCTAACTAATTTTTTGTTTTAGGCTTGTCATCTAGACAAGTAGCACTTCGATTTAGACTTCAAAAAACAGAAACAAAAAGGAATAAAAGTAATAGTATAGTATCCAGATTTGGAAGAAAATTAAAGAAAAGGGAACTTGAATTTAATAATAGCAGTAAATTGAGGGAATCTCCTAGAAATTCTATTCTTAGTCAAAAGAATTCTATAATAACACGTAGGAGTTCACTTGCCCAAGAAACAAAGTCCTTAGAGACTCCTAGACCATCTCCAAAGAGATCAGATTTAAACAGGAACATTGGAAAATATTCTAAGTTCTTCAATAAACAACAAACACCTCAAAATTCCAAGATTTACAAACCCAAAATGGAAGTTGCTAAGCCAATTCTAAGACAATATGAGAGAAAGTCTCTTCCATCTTCAAAATCTCAGTTTATAATTAAATATACCCCAAGCGAATCAACTTATTATCTAAAATTTGGGATGGTTAAGCATCCCCAGGATGGAAAACTTAAATATTCCTTTGATGCTCTAGTCAAGGATATAAAGAATATGAAACTGCCATCGCCGACATGGAAAATAAAAGTTGTGGTTCGCAGCAACAAAATATCATCGATTATCTTCACAAATAAATGCGTATTGGAGAGAACTGTCACGTTTAACGCTAAAAGTGAATATTACCTAGTGGTGATTGAGAATAAACCAGCTATACTTTTGGGTTCACCTGGTATGGTTGTATGTATCGAGGACATTGAGATTTTACTAAATATTATGCACACCATAAATGCTAAAAATCCTATGATTTACTACAAAAAATAGATTTTGTGTGAGAATAAGGTATTAACATAACCAGTTTTACTATCGAAGAGCATATAAAATATGTTAATTTATCATTAATTGTAAAAACTTTATTAATAAGAAAAAAATAAATTTTTGTGAATAAAAACTGACTTATATCCTTGTTTATATATTCTTGGCTTATATCCTTTTATTATATTAATAGTAGTACTGCTATTGCTTGAAAATAATCTTGAGGGAAGTAATAATAAAGACATCTATGTATACATACATATTTTTATTAAATTTCGAAATAATGTACAGAGGTTTGTAAAAACTAAAAAGTTTATATAATTAGCAGGGTAAAAAAAGATTAATAAATACATTTTTATAAATGTACTTATAAAGTGCCTATTTTTACAACATATGGTAATACTTAAATAGAACGTGTGATTGAATAAATTTGTCACAGAAGTTGGGATTTTGGTAGCAATTTTTTTGCTTGTTAATAAATAGAGAAACTTTTTGCGGAAAACAAAATATTCTGCAAAGAAAATTGTCTTTTAGAAACTTTATTACTTTTTTACTTTAGTTTCCATGCTACAGAACGATTGAAAATAATTTCAATCATTTATATGTATTTGTAATTCCTATGCCTACTATGACATTCTTTTCATTCAATCACACTGTTAACTGAAACACCAAACTAAACATATATTTTAAGACGAAAAGTTCAGTGGTAGTTCTTTTCTTCTAATTTTTAACAATAAAAATCTAACAGCCATTTTAAACACTAATAATTTAGCTACATCTTAACTCCTTAGCGTAATACTAAACTTCGCATTTGGATATAAATCTATATGTCTGTATGAAATTAACACGTTTAAAAGATAAGAATGGTCACAGCATATTTAGATTCATGTCAAGGTAATAATGGTAACGGTGAGTTTTTTACATAAATCAATGTGAACGTTTTTAAAATTATGTTTAAACGGTGAACTCTGACTTAAATTCGCGGTAATAGTAGACTACCTAAAAATGAACTAAAATAAATATCACAAAATAGAGTTATACATATATCATGCAAGCATTTTTAATTATAAATTAGACATGATGCCTATTAAAAAAGCCACCATTTCTCTTTACCAAATTGAAAAATAAAAAAGCATTATTCTATGACGCGAAAAAATATATTATACAAATATTATTCATTATCAGTCATTGTTTTGAGGTTTTATAAAAATAATATCGTTAATAAGCATCATGTATATTATTAGGTAATAAAATCATCGTAGAATAAAACATTTCATAGGCAGTCGAGTGTTAATATACAGGGTGGTCAGAACAGTATTCCGAAACTTCGGCAGCATATTCTGCAGATAAAATTAAGTAAAAAATTTCGTATAAATGTATGCCCTAAAATGCTTAGTTTCCGAGATACAGGATGTAGAAGTTTCATTTTTATTTCGATTTTTCCAAATAATTTCTGGAGCAACGTCAATATTTGGATAAAAATTGGTGTCTGAGATGTTTTGACATGCGAAATTTGATATTGATGTCAATATGACTCTTATTTGTAGGGGCCGCCACCTACATTTCTTTGAACTGTTTTGAAGAGTAATAACTTTTCGTCCTGTATAAAACTACTGAGTGAAAAAATGTACATTTCCGTGTTTTTTTTACGTAAAAAAGTACCTCTTCGTAAAAATCGCTACAGGCAACCGTTCTCAAAATAAAAAATATGTAGGTGGCGCCCCTTAAAAGTAGGAGTCATAGTGACACATCAAAATCAAATTTCTCATGTCAAAAAACTCTCAGACACCAATTTTCATCCAAATATCGACGTTAGTTCAGAAATTATTTAGAAAAAATTGAAATAACTTCTACACCCTGTATCTCCGAAATTAAGCCTTTTAGGATATACATTTATTCAAACTGTTTTACTTATTTTTATCTCTAGAATATCCTGACGAAGTTTCCGGAATAACAGTTCGGACCACCCTGTATGGTGAGTCATAAATAAGCTTACAGGTAACAATTATAGATTTTTGTATTATGTAAATAAAATATTTACTTAAAAAAAGTACATATAAATAATACAAATTGTAAGGCTATCAAAATGTAATGAAATGCTCAGACTTTTTTTATGTACCCTGTTCATAAAGTAATTGGTGACTTTGGGAAATTAAGCTGAAATTTGATTAATTTTCGAATTAAAGAACTTTTATTTAAATCTCTATATGAACTAAATGTATATTTTTGTCTTTTCTTTTGCTAATTAAATGATTCTTGAGATCTTATTATTAGAAATTTCTATATCACAAATTGTCAAAGGGTAGAAAGGAATGAACACTTATTACAGCGATAGTGGAAATTATTAAGCATTTATCTATTTTAAACACTTATTACACAAATTATCGAATAAAATTTCTAATAGTTACTTATGACTCAATTTAAATGTAGAGTTGTATTTTCTTATATAGTAGTTTTAGACATTTATTTGGCCCCACTGACTTCTAAGAGAACTAAACTACGAACCGAGAAAGAGAAATTTCTAGAGTATTTTTTCTAACTGTATTTTTCTAATGTTTATAGAATCGAAAATATCATCAAAAACTATCAGAATAAATTCGGGAACTTTAAATCGTGGTATTATTGTCGAATGCCAAAGAACAAATTTGTTTGCCAGTGGTTTTTCTTTGTAAATTTCTAAACATCTAGGGTCTCTTTCGAAAAAATAAAACTATATATTTTTCTGCCGTTGATTTCATTTCAAGGTATTTTATAAAGCTCCAAAAGACTTTTCTCTTTAAGAACTCTGCAATAAACATTTGTGAAATAGTAGGTATTAAAATTTGTGTCTTGGTAAAACCGTATGATCGAATAAAAACGGCGTCAGCGATGGCTATGAAATGAAGATCGCTGTCATTTTATATGTAAAATTATATGGAAAATGTCATTGATCGTCATTTCCAGGCCAACTGAACGCCGTTTTTTTTCGATCATACGGTAGAAATACAAATTCCAAAATCTACAAAATTTAAATGGCTAACACACTTTTTCAAAATCTTGCTGTAGGTCGTATAAACTAATGCGAATTTACGCAAAATTTGTAAAATAATTGTGTGTGGCGGATACAATATTTTTTCTTCCTTTTGTAATAGACAAAAATCTCGTAGATATCTGTCATGTATTTTTGTACATTAAATTTTCACCTTTACATGTTGATCACGTTATATTTTCACGAATAACGACATTTTAACTTTTTGTCTAAAACACAATAAAATCTTCGAAATAACAAACATCATAATTGTAAATTTTTTACATAAGTTTGATTATTCTAATGAATGACCTATTTTTAATACTTCAGTTAAATAGACGCTTTGGAAGAAGGGAGTAAGTAACGATTTACAAAAATTTTAGCATTACAAGCATCCTTTAGCTTATGGTCCTAATCAACACAAGGGCAACGGTCCGGTTAGGTCAAAACACCGGTTTACGACATAGGTATGATACATGGTACAAAGAAAACAAGGTATGCTCGATAGCGGCTCCAATTTCGTTAAGTTTGCGCATACCACCTGTGACGTCATACGCCAAACAAAAAAATATCCATATTGTTCAATTGCCACCAATAAAAAAAGATCTAAAATAGGGAAGAATTAGGACAAACCCCAAAAGTTATGTTTTGACATCGAGCTTGACATTTGAAAAATTATTTTCACATTTTGACACAATCTGTTTGACAATTTGAAATTGGCGCGCAGAGCTTGCCGACCAATGGTGTCGTTTATCACCTGTGACGTAGTGACAGTATTCTTTGTATCATGGGTATGATATTGCGCAGGTTGGTCACTACGTCACAGGTGATAAACGGCACCATTGGTCGGCAAGCTCCGCGCGCCAATTTCAAATTGTCAAACAGATGATACAACAAATGTGAAAATAATTTTTCAAATGTCAAGCTAGATGATTTGACATAACTTTTGGGGTTATGTCCTAATTCTTCCCTATTTTAGGTCTTTTTTTATTAGTGGCAATTGAACAATATGGATATTTTTTGTATGGCGTATGACGTCACAGGTGGTATGCGCAAACTTAACGAAATTGGAGCCGCTATCGATCATACCTTGTTTTCTTTGTATCATGGGTTTACGATAGATCACCGAAGTTAAACGACGTTAGACGATGTGAGTGTATGGACAGGTGAACGTCTGGAAACTCTAACGCGCCATTGTTCCATGGTAAGAGTGCAAAATCTACTGACAGATACTGCCGAATGAGATCGGATATCTCATGAGTAAGAATTGTCTGAATTGTCTTAGCCACTCAAAATGTCGGTAGGCTATTGGCAATGATATGGCCGAGGACCTCGGTTCGGCTTCCGCATAAACAAAGTAGCATTCACATTAGCTCTCACAGCAAAAAGGAGACTAACTCAAAAACTAATCAACACGCCTATAAAGTAGTTTTTTTACAAACGTCACAAAAGTATCAATTTTTGCGACATGATTGACAATATAAAAGTCAGTTTAACGCCTAGGCATAAAAGTAAAACACTTATAGGCCTAAGTATAAAAGTACGAAAATATATTATTAAACTGACATAAAGTGTCAAATTCAACGAGCGTAACCATAGTTTCTTGATATATAATTACTTACAAGGTATTTTAAATATTTTTTTGTATATCTGGAATGTCTGAAATTGTGTTTAAAAAATTACGTGGGGCTAGAACAAATTAGCATGTTCTATTTGAAGTAAAACTTCTGAAGTAAGACTTTTTGTGCCTCGCCTGCATGTCTACGTCTGTATGTCAAACGTACAGCCTCGCCAAAAAAGTGTCATTTTTACTCCTAATAAAACAATATACTATTATATTATTTCTATAATGTTCACTGTCATTAAAGTCATATTATTGTTGGCTAACTGTTAGTCTAGCTGAGATGATTTTAAGTCAAGAAGTTGTATCGCCTGTTGCTTTAACTGGAGTTGGTAAAGATCAACGTCTGGACTTAAAACTATATCTGCTAGAGTACCACCAGCAAACGGTAATAATATAACTTATTAACACTATTTCAGAGGTGTGTTGATTAGGAACATCATAAGCAAAAGCGTGCTTATAATGCTAAAATTGTTGTAAATCGTTACTGTCTTCTTCAAAAGCGAATATCTTCAATAAAAATCAAGAAATCGAGATGACTAAAAAACAGACTATCGAGAAAATAAAATACACCTTAATGATAAAGTGGTTTTCAAATTCCGAATTTTCTGTTTCAAACTTTCGTCAAAATAGCAACATTTTGTTTTCCGTAAGTATAAATCTAAAAAGTAAACACACAACAAACAGTTCACTACAAAATAATATGTTGCACATTAAAGAACAAAGTAAATAAAAATTTAAAGGTACCCTCATTTTCTCATCAACTACAGCATCAATAACACAGAGGTCAACGGACCCGTAATCAATTTCAGATCACAGTTTCAAAGTTGTGATTTCCTAGAAAATAATTTTAATGCACCCACGTTAGTTTATACGCCTAAAGGAGTTTTATTAATTTTTGACACAAATATCTCCGACAGAACTGCACCTGTCATCGACCTTACGGCAGCTCGCATTTGGCACTTCTTTTGTTTGCCCTGCCGACTTCCCTGCACAGAGTCCTACATATTCCCAGCCAGGCCTCCTCGTAACCGTCCTGCTGGTGCGAACTGCACGGGGTGTCGATGGTGGTCGGAGAGCCACGCGCCACCGTGTCGCACACTAGACGGGCCAGTCAATCGACCAAGATGCTTTGGGAGACATTTACCAGGGTGTCTTTTAGCGAACGGAACGAAGGTCGGTTCTCGGGCAAAGGAGACCAGCATTTCTTCATGACCTTGAATGGAAATGGCAGTGAAAGTTAGAATGAGATCAAATTTTTTTATAATTAGGCGTACTTTGTACGTCATAAGAGTTTTAGAATGTTCAGCCATATTTCAACGGCACGGCATATATTATCTCGTGGGGAGATTTCTCACGTAAAAATAAGATTTATTTTTCATATCATCATAGGTCTGATTCTGCTTTGTTTCCTAGCTACAGGGTGTTCAGTCTTAATATTTTTTCGATTTATTATAATTTTCTTCCAAGTACTTTTTGCGTTTCAAATGAAATATTGAGGACAAAATTTACTATAAATGCGACATATTTAAAAAAAAATGTCGCCATATTCACCAGGGACGTGCATATAAAGGGTGGTCCGAACTGTATTCCGGAAACTTCGGCAACATATTCTGCAGATAAAAATAAGTAAAAAACTTCGTATAAATGTATGTCCGAAAATGCTTAGTTTTGAAGATAGAGGGTGTGGAAGTTTCATTTTTATTTCCATTTTTTCCGAATAATTTCTGAAGTAACACCAATATTTGGTTGAAAATTGGTGTCTGAAAGTTTTTTGACATGATAAATTTGATTTGGATGTTATTATGACTCTAATTTAGGGGGCGCCACTTGTATTGTATTTTACTAAGTGCTGTGTGCATTACTAAGTCCACTGAGGCCGCGAGGGCCTATTGTGGCTCAGTTTCTACAAGCTCTTTAATAGAAAAAGAGCATTAAAGTTCACCCTCAAGACCCAGCCTTTTAACATAGGCCGTTATGTCCGAGGGTGATATGTCTTCTAGGTCTGATAGGTCTAACGTGGGTTTGCCAAACACCTCAAACCTGGTCCTGCCCCCAGCGGGGCAGGTACACATAACGTGCTTCATTGTTTCGTCATCTTCCATACAGAGTCGGCATTCGGCGTCTTCCACCAGTCCCATCCTCTGTAGGTGTGATCTCAGCCGGCAGTGGCCCGTGTATACTGCAGTAAGCGTACGCGCTCCGTTCCTACCAGCCTTTAGGAGTTCATCTGTTCTACGTTTGGATGGCCCTGCTAGGATTGTCTTGGCATGTTCCATTCCGGGACTGTCATACCAGTCCCGAAACGTCGCACCCCTAACCCATTCACAGAGCCTGTCTCTTGCGAGATTTTTTGGTATGCTAAGTGTCGGTTCTGGGCCCACGAATGGTGAGCCTGCACCAGTTTTGGCGAGGGAATCAGCACGTTCATTTCCCTCTAGGCCGACATGTCCCGGTATCCATATTAGCGACACTTTGTTTCCATCTCCTAATATATTGAGTAGTCTCTTACAATGAAGAATCGTCCTGGACGTGCTTTTCGTTGCCTCAAGTGCTTTCAACGCGGCTTGACTATCCGAAAATATGCTTATTGTTTTCCCGGTGTATTGCTGTTCTACCAGCATTTGCACACAAGTTTCAATCGCATATAGCTCAGCTTGGAAAATTGTGGTGTGTTTTCCAAGACTGTGATAGATCTCAGTCTTTGGACTGCTGCAGTAAATTCCTGCGCCAGATCCTTTATCGTTTGGGCGCCACTTATATGTGTTTTAACTGTTTTGAACTTTGAATAAGAAGACTAAGAAAGGAGCATAATGCTATCCATGTATTCAGGCATGGTGGGCGGAAAAAGCACTCTAGGGTGGGGATCCTTGAGAGTCTGTTTGACGATTCATTTGACACATTTGAATTGGATTTGAAATGTTGTGGATTTGTCAGTATTTACGGAGCTTATTTTATGTTATTTATTATTTAATTTACTACTGATAGTTGTATAAAGGTAGTAAATCTAGATGGAAATTGTGGCAGAACTTAAATTAACAGTGAAACTATCGCGATTTATCGAAAAAGACTCTAAAATAGTTGGTTGTGTAAGATCTCGGCAAAAATCGAGTGAAATAATGGAACAACTTTTCGCTAGTAAGTGACTATATAATATACATACGTGTAGTAAACCGATCATTTATGAAATTCACTTAAATTAACTAATTATATATTTTTTCTTGCATTTTTGCTTTTATTTACTACTTGTCAAAGATTAGATGCCAAAGAATTTAGATACGTCAATTTGACTTACCTGCTTCAGTCGCGTATCGGATGTTTATGGTTATAAATAATTATTATAACTTATCTATTTTTATTAGAATTTTATATTTTTATAACAATTTTAATAACTACTAACATTTATTCACAACGTAAAATAAAAAAAAAATATTGAGTCTACCCCACGTCTACCCTACATCATAGTTTTACATTTTTTAAATAAAATTCACTAATAAACCGGAATTTAAGTCGGCCATATTTGAGGCCTATCGCGGTGGACCTAAGATTTTTGATATGCTCCTTCCTTAGTCTTCTTATTCAAAGGTTTTGAAGAGAGATAACTTTTCGTCCGCACCTGTATAAAACTACTAAGTGAAAAAATATACATTTCCGTGATTTTTTACGTAAAAATTGTCTCTTAATAAAAATCGCTATGATTAACCGTTCTAAAGATATTTAGAATGGAAATGGTCAATACATGTCATTATTGACTAAAATAAGCATGTTGAGCAGATGATAGTTATTTGACTGAAGTTGTAAATTTGGCAAATTTTATTTTCTTTAGAAAAAATGATGATAAAACAGTTTTTGTTGAACTTTTGGCACAAAAACATTTCAAATTTATGATTTCAGTCTAATAACTATTTAGTCAACATGTTTAATTTATGTCAAAGATTACAAGTATTGATAATTTCGATTCGAAATATCTCAAGAACCATTAATCGGAGCGATTTTTACTAAGAGACTTTTTTTACGTAAAAAACGTGGTAAATTTATATTTTTTTACTCGGTAGTTTTATACAAGTACGGACGAAAAGTTATTACACTTCAACCCAGTTAAAAAATATGTAGGTGGCGCCCTCTACAAGTTGGAATCATATTAACATCAAAATCAAATTTCTCATGTCAAAAAATTCCCAGACCCCAATTTTCATCCAAATATTGACGTTACTTCAGAAATTATTTGGAAAAAATCGAAATAAAAATGAAACTTCTACATCCTGTATCTCGAAAACTAAACATTTTAGAACATACATTTATACGAACTTTTTTACTTATTTTTATCTGCAGAATATGCTGCCGAAGTTTCCGGAATACAGTTCGGACCACCCTGTATATGAGTTATCACTGGAATATTTTTCTAAAAGAATGTACGCCACTGACTTTTTTTTATCTTGTTAGCGAAATAGTATAAGCAATTTAAGGCCGATTAAAAGTTGTCTCTTGATATTTTATCGATTTCGACCTCCTTGATGAGATAAACGCAATTTTTTTAATTTGCCTTGATCGAAGTCTAATAGCAGCCTTTAAAAAAATTTAATAGCATTAACTTGCGAAAGTTTTAAATATGCTCTCATTGATTCCTCATCAAAAAATATGAAAAAAAGTTCCTTTAAACATGGGTACGGAAATGCATAGTTTTAAAGTTTTACAGGATGTTAAAACTTTTTAAAATTTGGTTTGTTGTAATTATCTTAAATAGCATAATTTTTTATTTCAAATTGCTGTATGTTAAACTAATAGTATATATATAATAATAACAAGTAATTATTAGTAGTAATTATAGTAATTAATAACATTACATAGTAATAATAATATTTAATAATAAATTAGCTAAAATATACAATTTATTCATTTCATTTTTATTTTAAATTTATTCATTGTGATTAATAAAATTGCGTTTATCTCATCAAGGAGGCTGAATTCGACAAAATATCAAGAGATAACTTTTAATTGGCATTAAACGGCCTACACAATTTTGATATCAAAAGAAAAAAGTCAGTGGCGCACATTTTTTTTATTGAAAAATATTCCAGTGAAAACTCATGTGCACGTCCCTGGTGAATTTATCGACACTTTTTTAGCATTAAAATATGTAGCACTTTTCTACACACATTTTCCTACAAGTGTAAAAAACCGGCAACACTGTATGCCGCTTTTGATTTTGTCTCTCTGTCTGTCAACCAGTCATTTATATTATTCTCTGTCACACTCATTAAAGTCCAGACCACATAAATTGGATGACCAGCAGGGTATACTAGTCTTTAATCCGTCTTACCTGACAGATAAAACGTTATGTCTAGACGGGATTAAGACAATTAAAAGTTGTATTTTTTTCGATGGAATATAGTATACTTAAAGAATGACATTATAAATTAATCTATTTACTTACATCATAGACTTCCTTATAACAAGCTTTTGGTTTTTCTAGTATAATGCCTTTCTGCACTCTTTCCACAACTTCAGAATTCTTCAAACGACCATACGGCATTTTACCGCATGTAAACACCTCCCACATCAGCACACCTACAAAATTAAAATGTTAATTATTCAGTTTTTATCCAGAAGTAATTAAAATTCACCATATGCCCAGACGTCAGATTTTGAAGAAAATCTTGTGTAATTTAGTACTTCTGGTGGAGCCCATTTAATGGGAAATTTCGATCCGCCAGAAGATGTATATTGATCGTCCAAAACGTACCTAAAATAATTTTGGGAGGTTTATAATCTTAAATATTGACTTTGAATAAAATAGTTACCTTGCTAGACCGAAATCAGCAACTTTAACAATATTTTCAGTTCCAACTAAACAGTTTCTAGCAGCTAGATCTCTATGGATATAATTATGTCGCTCTAAATAAGCCATTCCTTTACACACCTGAGAAAAAAATATAAAATAATATAATTGATGGAAGAAATAAGAAGATGCGCAACCTTATGGGTGATTTCTTAGCACAAAACCTGTCCAAGATATAGTTGGCGTTACCGTCAGCCAATCCAAGATTTCCTAGATTTAGTTTAGCTCTGCGACGCTGCGCGCTGATCAATCGTCATTTACAGCGCAGCGGATAAATACTGTACCGTAGCAGACCGTAGTTCTGCTTCAAGTCGACAGAGTGAGTGATTGTCGGAGACAGTGTTGCCAGAACTACTGATTAATCCGTACATTTACGGATTTTGGGTACAGTACGTTAATAATACGGATTTTCTATCATTAAACAATTTAATATAATATTATATGATTAAACAAAGAACGTCGCCAGAGTTGGTTTGGAAATGAAGATCGCTGTTATTTGATATGTAAAATATTATGGTAAATATCAATAATCGTCATTTCCAAGCAAACTAAACGACTTTTTTCGATCATACGATATATTCAGTACCTATAAATTTTTTTTTATTTCTGTTGATTTTTCATCCAAAGATTATTTTGTCAAACATATTCCAGATATTACACATTTTAATATGGCAACACTGTCGTTTTCAAATCCACACCGTCTTCTATATGCCTTCGCTGGCCGAATTAGAGAAAATAACTGTTTTATGCATTGACCGCAGAACGATTGGTGTCTCCACCTTACAGCACTTGAGACGTAAGGGGAAATCAAATCAGCCTTATCACGAATTCGTCCATTAGGTTGCGTATCTTCACAATTCTTTCAATCAACGATAATATTCAATTAATTTACCTGTATACACATATCTAACAACAATCCCTGATTATTGATCAGAGATTGTTCATGTCTCCTCAAATGATTTAAAAGAGATCCGTGTCTCATGTACTCAGTGACGATAAAAATTGGTCTATTTTTACTACACACCCCGTATAACTGCACGAGGTTCGTGTGCTGGAGTTTTCTAAAAGGAAAATTTTATATGTATCGTAAGAATCAGAATTTTATGTCAAAGACTTACGTCATGACTTTCGCCTCCTCGATGAAATCATCTTCAGACATTGTGCCTTCTTTCATCATCTTAACAGCCACATCTATTGAGCCTCTCCATTTGCCCCTCCTGACTACACCAAACTGACCAGAACCCAGTTCTTCCAAGAGAACTAGTTCGTTGTGATCTATCTCCCATTTATCTATAACCAAAATGAAAGTTGGTTCTATCCAAATATATTTAAAAGACTATACTGCGGCCTTCCCTTATATAACATAAGCAATAAGACGATTTATGTTCCAATATTGAAGGACAGAAAATATATAGAGTTTGTATAATTTGGGGACCTAAGTCCACGGCCACACAGAAAGCGTTTTTTACATTTTTAGCGTGAAGCGTCTTTAGCGGCTAAAACAAAATAACAGGATTATATAGGAGTGGCCATACCAAAAGCGTGTCGCGTTCGGCGGGTCTCGCAAATAACGCAAATGAAAACAAATCAGTTTGTTTTCTGTAGCATGTTTAGCGTTTTTTATGAGACCCCGTCCTAGGCGGACGTTATATTTAATAATACAATAAAAATAAATTAAATAGTGTGCTTTTTTTTCATTTTAGAATATTATCTAAAAATATTTTTATAAAGAACATCTACTGTTTAGGTAGATTCTATTAAATGCAAAAATTTGAAGGAAATGTTTGAAAAAGTGTAGTTTGAAATGTTGAAAAAGTAATAAATTAAAGGAATATTTTCTTACGCGTAAAAAATAGTTTTTTTATACGTAAAGTGTTTTTTTTCTGCGTAAAAAAGGTTTTTTTAACAGAAACAATAAGTTTTTGACGCGTAAAAAATAGTTTTTACGTGTAATAAATTGTTTTTTACACGTAAAAAATATTTTTTTGCGCAACAAAAGGTTTTTTACCAGAAATAATAAATTTTTGACGCGTAAAAAAATATTTTTTTACGTATAACAAATAGTTTTTTACACGTAAAAAATATTTTCCTTGGGGTAAAAAAGTCTTTTTACCAGAAACAATAAGTTTTTGACGCGTAAAAATTAGTTTTTTACGTGTAACAAATAGTTTCTTACACGTAAAAAATATTTTTTTTGCGTAAGAAAGGTTTTCTGCCAGAAACAATAAGTTTTTAACGCGTAAAAAAAGAGTTTTTTACGTGCTACAAATGTTTTTTTACTCGTAATAATTTGATTCACTTTTACAAAATTTGTATTAAAATATCAATAATTTTGATAAACACGTGGACTGCTCACAAATGCATGTCGCGTTACTACGTATTTCTAAGCCGTTAACACGTTTCGTTGCAACGAACTCGTGTGTCAGGGCCGTCTCACTAGCTCGTATGTCACGGCCTTGAATTTTTACTCCCAGCCCGCGTAAAGAAGTTTCACTCCAAAATGTCTCATAAATCATGTCCTCAAATTGCATTAGCAACTAGAGATATTTACTATTCTATTATATAATTATAATTATTTATTATATTATATTATAATTATAACAAGTACTAACCACAACACTACAACATAAAAAAAACTATACACATATAGACTAAAATTCGTAAAATAAATGGCAAAAAATAAAATAATAATTATAATTTTTACACACCACTGGCACTAGCAGTAGATTGTGTTTGTCTCCGAATATATGCCCCGGCCCGTCCACAATTCAATCCCAGCATCTTTTATCTTCGTCTCTTCAACGCTAACGGTGCTGATCTCGCCTATCTCTTTCTCACAGGATTGATTGTTGGACGGGCCGGGAATCCACGAGCTTGCGACGTTACTAATTGACATATTGATAGAAACTGCAGACCTGCTGCATCTTTTGCGTGTTTTTAATAAACACAAATCGAAAAAATCGCTTAAAACAGTAAAATCGCAAAAAGCGCTTGAGACGCTAAAAACGCTTTCTTTGTGGCCGTGGGCTTAGTTCATCCTTGTTTAAGAAATGGAAATATACACTTCCTTGGAGATGGGGTATTGACTGATTTTTGTTCGGCAATATGCATTTTTAGTTTTCATTTGCGGGTGTCATTAGTATTCTTCCTCGTGTAGTGTGTTTTTGTTTGTTTTAATCTTTGTGACTTTTAAAAGATTATTTATAACGCAACAATATGCAAATTATATTTTTTGTGTCTAGCCCGATTTTGTATAAACTTTAAATATGTACTTTTAATTATATTTGTTTAACAAAAATATATGTTAATAATTAAATAACTTTTGTTTTAAAAAATGTCTATACCTATGTGGCGGATTCATCTCTCCAAAAAAATCCTATATAGGTATTTCACCACTGCAACAAAATCTACAAAATAAAATAGTTATTTTTTGTAAACACTGCTGGCGTTAATCCAACGGAAACTACTTGTCAGCAGTTAACAAAAAAAAAATGCTTAACGTTCCAGAAAGTTTATTTAACCGTTGACGTTCTGAACGTCGGACAAGATTGACACTGCGCTCGCCAGACATTTTGGTCCTTCGATCTGGATGAAATTTTATATAAAATTTTATATCCATCCTTCAATATTGGGACAAGAACTTAAGCGGTACTCGCGGTATATTCTTTTTTAGGTATATGGATTTACCATGACTGAGTCCAGCGGTTGCTGGAGCAGGCCTATCACATGGGCTAGTCTTCAGTCTTGAGGCCAGACCTCCGCTATTGTGTTTGTGGTAGTTGATTAATTCTGGAATGGAGTTGCAACAGTGTTTTTCCGAGAGGAAGAATTCGCCCCTGGAATTCTGTTTGATATGGTAATGCTTTACATGAGGATGAGGTCTGAAATTTAAAATATTTAAAAAATATAACTAATTAAAACATATTAAGATATTCTTAATGCTGATTGAAAAACTGAATAAAAAAAGATAAATGTTAAAATGTAAATAAAAACATCTTATAAGAAAAGAAAAACACTAGCTTAGAATTGGCTTGAAGATCCGCCACGACGGGCGACGTCAGAAAAAAAAATACTTTTTATTTTTTTTTAAAGTAAATGAAAAACAAAAAATCTGGCGACGACAGTTTTTAGAAAAGCCAATTAGCTATCTTTTAGTAAAAAAAGCAACTTTCTAGAGCAAGTCGTTACTTCAGTAGAGACGACACAGATAAACATTAGCATTTTATATATGTAGATTATATGGGGATTGTTATTGATATCAATTACAGGTCAATTTACCTACACTGTGAACATCTACTATTAATAGAAATGCGTTACAATGATAAGTAGACAGTTTCAATATTTGAATTAAAGTTATTTAAATAATTTTCTGAAATTAACCTATAATTAATCCTTCAATATAATACATTATTTCAATTTGGATTAGTGAAATTCTTAAATCAAACATTCAACTGAGTTCTGCAATTAATAAAGCAAGTAAAAGTTAATTGCCGATTAACACTAAAAGATCATGTATAAATATAATTAAGCAGTTTTACTAGCTTCCTGTTAAAGACTACTGTTTCTTAATAAAACATAATAAATTCTAAAATACATAACATTAAGAGTTATTTTTTTTATGTATTATCACAAACTTAGTTTGTGGTATTATAAAATACATATCTGTACACCAGAAGCTAAGTATTTACCTTTTACACATTTACCTTTAGGAAACAAAACACAGTTTCGAGAAAAACGAATTTAAAGTTCTTTTTTGAAGTTGTTTCCTAATTACTCGGTTATTTTTAAACCTCTAATTGTAATATTTGGTATATGAATATATTTTCGACTTAATGAGGTAAAAAATGATAGAATCACAAAAAGTTAAGTAATTTATAGAGTGCCTATATATCTCAAATATGCCAATTTTATACTTACATCGCTTGTAGGGTACAGATATACAGGGTGGCGCACCTCATTCACCTCGGTCGATTATACAAAAACGGAAAGATGTAGAAACAAAGTATTTTATAGGTATATGCCTTGATTATGTATAAATAGATGTACAATGAGGGCTTAGTACAAGCCCGTCTTCTAGGTGGCGCCTTGCCCGTTCTGAATTTTTGTATTCCCCTACGATTTTCTTTGAGGGGAATCCGTTAAACCCGCCCATCGTTCAAAAATGGAAGGGCGCGAGGTCACATCTATTGGGCCACTTATTAGCACGTTTCACCCATGTTTTACGAAAATAGCTTTATCCTTGTTTGTTTCAACTGTGACAAGAAAAAAGGAAAAAAAGTTATATTCGCTTCTAAATTCGGCAGTTTTGTTGATCTTTCTCGACTTGTAATTTCGTTTCGTTTAGGTTATGTCTTATAAAAATAAATATTTATAAGCTTTTGAATTGAAATATACCTTAATGCATATCTGAGTAATTAAAAAAATCAGTTTTTTCGTTCCTCGCGAAGAAACATAAACAGTATTTGTGAAATTTGGATTAGAAACTATTATTTTATTAGTTTATTTTGTTGTGTTTAAGTGTTGTGTATTTGTACCTACTGGATAATATTTTCCAACATATTTAATTAAGCAAAAAGCATCTGTTTTACAGGTAAGTAAATACTGTTTATATTTATTTCTAAATTCATATAAATTTGTTTTAAATCACTCTTGGGAAAAATGTTATAGAGTCTGAGATAAGTTTAATAATAAACATTTGATAGATTGATAGATAGATTAAACGATAATGCCCAGTTTGCTTAAAAGTTTAAAAAAATACTGATTTTATGCTATAAATTGTTTCATTTCTCACTTTGCTTTTTTGGAATTGTCAGATATATTGTGTATTTTATAATTTTTCCGAGAATTTTTCTTAATAACTTGATAACGTAAAATATTGTTTATATACAGTCAACCCTGTGTTTAGATAAAGCTTCATATCAGATTTCCTATTTTATATTTTCACACAAATCATATTTTTTGTAAAATATGCTTGCAAAAGTAGCGTAAATTTGACAGGGAGGTATTTTTATAGATATACAGGATGATTCAAATATATATTTACTTTTAAAGTTATTAGTTATGAGCAAAGGTTATGAGTTTGTGAAAAGAAAGGCTATATTTTGTATTTTTGCTTGGTGGATTTGTTATTAAATTGTCATTCCAAAAAATACCATAATGTCGTAGTCGTATAGAGTTTATTTTGACCAAAGAATATATTTTGACCCTTTTTGGATTGAATTTTATTGTTTATATAATAAAATATATATTTAAAGCCCTCTCTTTCTAAGTTAAGTTAAAAATAGGTAATATCGACGTTTTTTACTGGAACTAATTTAAGTTAATAATTAATAATTATATAATTCATATAATAATATTAAAATAGACTAAATTGTTTATTATATACAGGATGAGTCAAAACTAGATATTATATTTTTCTTTGCTATTTCTAATGAAACACTGTATTTTATATCATAAATCAACAAAGCTTTTATGCAACTTTTGTTTTATTAAGATCTATATCCCAAATTAATAGTTATTAAATTGTTTTCAATTGTCTCTTTGCGAATAAACATGATTTTTACGCAATTTTTATTAGTAGGTTTGTCGACAAAAGTGATGTATCTATTTATCAGCGACAAAAATTAAGAATTAGATGTTTAAAATAATTTTCTAATTATTTTTTTACTTGGCATCAGTAAATATGATTTATTTTATCGATGCAGCTGAAAATAATTATGTATTCTAAAAGAGGACATTACTGTATATACATCGATTATGGATTTAAAAATTATTTTTCAAAACAAAGTTGGAAAAAATTTTTGAGAAAAAATTGGAGTTCTGTTCGAAATAATCGAGAAAAACCCAACATCTAGTTTTGACGCCACCAGTATATATCATGCATTATAGTTGATTATACTGCAATTTATTATACATACGTAGTTTTGTTTGGTGAAAATGAAACTTTCTATAAGTATTCCCAATTAAAACATATTAAGAATTTCCTACATTATAATTTTGAAGACGTTTGAGTGGGCAGACAATTTGGTCTAAAATAATATGTCTAAAAAATTTAGCCTAAATAATCAAAAACCACTTAACACATATAACTCGCTTTTAAAAAATCTAAAAGAAATAAGTTTGTTTATTATATTCATATTTTATTAAATTATTATAGGTGTGACTGCTAAGTGGTCGTACTCGCCACTTTAACCAAGCATTGGTGGGACCTTCAGAGATCATAATGCGAATTTCTTCATACCATGTAAATCTATATACATGTATTAATAAATGCGTTTGCTTTATTAAATTTTTTTTCTTATACGGTATGAGCGAAAAAAAACGGCGTCTATTTGTTTACGTACAAATGACATCGATATTCATTTCCAAACCACCTCTGAGGCCGTTTTTTTTTATCGTATGGTATATATTTACATATCCCTTATCCTTTAATTCCGATTTATTTCTAATAATTATAAAAATAAGATACCTGATTAATTCTTCCGAAATATTATAAAATGAGATATCACGAAAGAAATAAAGTTAATTATCTCGTTTGTTTTGGGAATTCCAAAAAAATAAAAAAAAGGGTATAGAGAATCTTTAGAGACACAGTTCAAATGTTATTTTTGAGTATACTGGTTGCTTCAAAAAATGTGGCGGATACATGTTTTTTAATGCAAAACTCCATTTTTATTTTATTTTCGATTCTGCCTAAAATTCTATAACTTTTTTTTATAAATAACGTTAGTAAGTATTTACAATTTAAAAAAAAAGTAAAATTTTATTCCTATGTTACTTAACTGTCAGTTGTTTCCGAAGTTGGACTACACAAATTTGGTAGGAGTGTTTTACAGAGATGAAAAAAAAATATATTTATATGTAAAAATACTTGCAGTTAGATGCTACACTGTGTTCAAACATTTTTTTTGGCTGATCCGATATATATATTATTATTTTTTCTAGTGATTTTACAAAACCTTTCAACATTTGTTAAGAAAGTATATTAAGTACACCTATACTCAACAGCTTGCAATCTGTTCTGAATTTTATCCTTCTTTTAATTCATTTACATTATAACAAGTTGCCATATGACAAAACAAAAATTATTTATTATTAAACATTAAGTAAAGTGATTTATTTAGTTATATGACATTCTTAATAGAAGTTGAAGGATTTTGTAAAATCTATCAGAAAGAATTATAATATATCGGGTGTTTTTCAAAAGTAGCTTGATTGATGTATTCAATTAGTTTCGGTCATTTCTTGTTTCACCGGAAATGACTACAACTTTTGGTTTTTAAATGGTACCGTCGGTATTTTTTTACTTTATTTTGCAGAATATGGCATTCTCAATAGAATAATTCAATGTCAACTTTTGACTCTTTTACTTAAAAAATAGTATTTTAAAGTTCAATCTAGTAGAGTGCCATGATAATAAACAACATGTAACCGGTCGTAAAGATAACGACAGTTTGACTCGACATACGGAGTGTGTGGTACCAAATTATTTACCAAAATTAGGTACCAAAATTTATTAGGTATCAAAAAATGCTTTTCCAAATATGCTAATGAGCCACTCTCGTTTCATTAAAAAAAATTGAGTTATGATTAAAATACGAAATGGGCATATTTCAACTGACCAGGAAAAGACACAAAAAATATTAGACGACCAAATCAATTTTTCCAAAGCTCCTTGATTAATCCTTGATTAAAAAATAATGGTTTTAACACAGCCATGACACTAGATTGAATTTTAAAATGCTATTTTTGATTTAATTGAAAATGTCAAAAGTTGACATATGATTGTTGATGTCAAAAGTTGTCATTCTATTCAGAATGTCATTTTCTATCAAATAAAGTACCGTATGATCGAATAAAAACGGCGTCAGCAATGGCTATGAAATGAAAAGCGCTGTCATTTTATATGTAAATTTATATGAGAAATGTCATCGATGTTCATTTCATAGCCATCGCTGACGCCGTTTTTATTCGATCTTACGGTATAAAAAATACCGAGGGTACCATTTAAAAATCAAATGTATACATTTCCGGTGAAACAGGAAGTGACCGAAACTAACTGAATACGAATCAATCTCGATTTATGTCATATACCTACTAACATTCCCAATTTAGTTTTTTTCTCGGAATCTGAAAAAATAAAAAAGTTATAGAGGTGAACCACTTTAAAAAAAAACACTCAGTATAGGCTGTGTCATTGAAAGAGTCTGCAGATATTTTTTTAATTTTAAATACGTAGAATTAACCATTAATATATGTTGAACACCCTGTAGCATCTGCCTTAAATATCTACATAGTATCTAATATTTTTTCTTCATCAACAAATTGAAATATTAGAAAACTAGTTTTAGGTTACACCATTATACAAGGATTATACATAAAAAAGTAATAATTTTACGCAGGATCTAAAATAAAATAGGATGTTACATTTAAAAAAAAACATTATGTTAAATCCGTCATACTTTTTACAAAGTTACAGAGGTAGGTAGGCATAGTTTCATATATTTTTTTAATTATCCATCTAGAAATAAAATATATATATATACCTAATATAATAATTTAGTATTTAACAAGGGGCCATGAAAATCAAAATAAATATAAATCCATATCCAAAAATAAAAAATGTAAATAACGCTTTGAGGTAAAAATTCGGTTCAAAGCAGATAAGATATTTTATTCTTTACCGAGAATTAAATTCGAAGAATTCCTAGTCCCTACTTCTTTGCCAAATTCAATAGTCTCCGCCCCTTTTTACGTTTTAATTTCTGCCACCAGTTGGCAGCATCGACTTATACAGGCACATTGACTAACTATTAATATATAAACAAGGGTATATGTGGGAAGACAATGTGTATTTTGAAATGTACAGGGTGTGTCAGAACTAAGATCCATACTAAAGTTATATTTTTTCTTATGGAACACCCGGTATTTTATTTCATTTTTGGATTCTAGGACATAAAATAAGGCATTTACTATAAGGGTTTAATATCTCTAAAAGCTTTGGGTTTTGAGATGTTTATAGATATTTAAATATGCATGCTATAATAAAAAAATTTGTTAACACCCTGTACATTCCTTTTCAGAATTAATTCTTGTACTGACTTTTAAGCAAGAGAATTAAACTAAAAAAATTTGATTGCTTCCTTAAATGTATACGGGGGTATCAGAAACATTCTAGAGATTCATTAGCCACCCACTACCATAATAAAACTTAACGAGTAGCACTGTATACCAAAAATATAAACAAAATAAAGCATGATAAATTATCACTGCATATTAGATTTTAGTTAGTTCGTTTTGGGAATAGTTTATATTTTATATCGCAGTATTATTTATTTATATTGCTCTAGTCACCAAATTATTTCTAACATTTATGTATAACCATATACGTATAAATAAAATATACTCAGTCTAATCTCTAAAAAGTGATGTCCAAACGGTGAAAGGGAAATATGGAATTCTACATAAGTCTTTTTCTCTCGGATATTCATTTAATTGCGCATGCCTCGCCTGAAGAAGTTTTCATTGATCGGTGCTTTTAAAAGGAAGTAGTTGACCGATATTTCACCTAACCGTCAATTTTATTTTATTTTTTTATTATTTAATAACTAACATTTTAGTAATTAATTGAATTATTTGTTTTATAGCTTATTTTACTTATTACATATTGGCAAAAACTAGGTCATTATGAAGATTATTCTAAGCTTATTATGGGTTATTTATTTATTTATTGATGTACATCTTAACGCCATAAGTGGTAATAACAAGTAAGAGGGTGCTATTAATGCACAAACTAACAATCACAGAATTTAATAAAAACTAACCTAGAAATAACTTTGAAAGTGGTGTAATGTGCTTATCAATCAAACTGACTTCTCTGTCTGTAGTCAATGGTAATAAAGGACCTTTATTGTCAAGTTCTCATTCAAAATAGTTTATCACGGAAGCTACAAGTTCTTTGCTTCAACTGTTTAAATGCTTAGGCATATTTTCAACACACAATTTCAAAAAATGCAATACTAAAACTCGAAAATGTAGTTCTTAAAAGAACTGTTTGTGCTTAAAAGAACAATTTTTTAAAAAAGACTATGAAAATAAGCAAAAAAGCGAGAATTACTCACAAAGATTCAACAACACGATATTATACAAAATAATGACTAACACTAGGATAATTGTCAAATAATAAACGACAACCTTGCTGAAAACGGCGCAATGTAACCAACATAGCGATAATAATGTGGGTTTTAATTTTTTATCAACCTTATTTCTTAATTTTTCTAATAACAGACTATCTTAATTTCTTAATTCTAATACTATTGTATTTAATTTCAAACTCCGCGGGCGGAACGCAACGTATTTAAGAGGTCTGTTCTCAGAAGAATCCCTGACTAGTCAGCACGTTTCTCATTGGTTAAGATGCGTAGAAACCTGATTGTTAGTCTGGTTTCTACACATGTCAACCAATAAGAAACGCGCTGACTAGTCAGGGATTCTTCTGAGAACAGACCTAAGATGTCCGGTCTAACTTCTTAGGAGGGGATCCGATACCGTTACGTGGGAGTTGGGCACAATAATTAAAAGAAGACGGGCGGCCGGCTTTACGGGTTTTGGCGCCAAAAAGGCGATATTCACAAATTAAGACGTAGTAAAGACGGGAGTGAATAGTTTAAGACGTGAGCTACTTCCTCCATAATCTAAGACGTGTTTTATCATTTTTAAGCAGTAAAGACGTACATGCCAAGCTGTGCAATTCTGTAGTAACGCTAGTAACAAGTGTGCCTAAGAATAAGTATTACAAAAACGTACAGTGGGATTCCGCTTTATGTTCATTTTCTAGTTAACGATTACAATCATTTAGTGTTTACATAGAACAAGTGATAACGACCATTCTTTTGTTACTGTTTCGCACTATCATTAAACTTTGCTAAATCTATAACGAACCTGTGTTGTTTCTTTTATGACTATTACCCCTAGACAACTGAGAAACACCATACAATAATATTCGGTTTAAACTAATTTTTAATCTAAATAAAATATCTGTTACAATCATTTGCTCTATAAAGTAAAATGAAGAGCTGCTCGGTATCCTAAATTATACAACAAATTTAAGCATATTTGCCAAAATTTCATTTAGTCAGGTTTATAGACTTTAGTGTCAATGTCGATATGATTGATGACGTGCATCGGAAAATGTTTTGCGATTACAATAGACTTATACAGCATGAATATGGAGCTTGGTTATATTTTCTTTCTCTTACAGCACGGAGATAGCACACGTGGTTAAATAGGAAACACTGGGTATATTTTATTTATACGTACATGTGTATAACGGGAATGGACATATTAAAATTAACCCGCCTTGCCACTCCTCAGCTTGACATTAAATAGGAAAGTAATTACAAATTCAAAACTCCATGCATTCATTCAAAAAGGAAATGCATTTTTTATAAAAACAGCTCCGAATATATATAAAAGAAAATCAAGTGTGAATGTGAACGACGCACTGATTGGACAATAGAAATGTATCAACTTACATTTTCGTATATAGGGATAGGGTATAGAGCCCTTTTGTTGAAGAATTTCGAACCACAAAGCAGCCTTCTTTATCTTCCTGCTTCAATAGAGATTCTGATCTTTGCCTTGACATGTCATTAACATACCATCTGAAAGAAAAATAAATTGGATTAGTAGAAATAAAATATATTAATTACTATTATACAGGGTAGTCCTAATTGTAATCGGGAAACTTTGACAACATAATCGCCTCGAAACATTCATGTCCTAAAATGCTTTGTTTCGGAGATGCAGGGTGTAGAAGTTTAATTTTTGTTTCGTTTTGTCCATGAAAATGCCACCTACAGGATATTTAACTGTTTTGGAACGTAATATTTCATTAGTACCTGCATTACACTACTGAGAGAAAAATATGCATTTCCGCCGTTTTTTACGCAAAAATGGTCTCTTGGTTATCTCTTGATAAAAATCTGACTGGAATAATACCGTATGATCGAATAAAAACGGCGTCCGCGATGGCTATGAAATGAAGATCGCTGTCATTTCATATGTAAATTTATATGGGAAATGTCATCGATCGTCATTTCCAAGCCAACTGGACGCCGTTTTTATTCGACCATACAGTACATTTGAAAATGATTTTGTTTGAAAGGTTCACTAGAAACAGTTTTAACATAAATTATTATTCTATAAAAATTTATCATCAAAAATAAAATGTTTCTAAATTTATCATTTCAGTCAAATAACTACACGTTTATTTTTTGTAAACGATGATATGTATTTGATTATTTCAAATTGCGAACGGGTGATTCTCGTAAAATATACAGGGTGTTCCATTTAAATTAAACAAGTTATTGCCGTTTGAAGCTAATATTATTTAAAATAAATTTTTAGACACTCTGTACAAGGTAGTATTATTTTTATTATTGCAACACAATAACTGATCAGTAAATAAACTTCAGTAAATATTTAGTATTAAAAACTTTGATACCCTTGGAGAAATGAAGCCTTAAAATTTTGACTGCAATTTCACAAAATTGAAAATATTTCAAAAACGGTAAGGTTTAAGTATAATAAACCTTAATCAAATTAACCTTTATTTTAATCGTAGAAACTAAAAATGTAATAATATACAGGGTGTTCCATTTAAAAAAATACAACTTTGATATTTTTTACTTATTTGGGACACTCTGTATCTTGTAAAATTATTTTTAAATTGTACATCTAATAGTCCTTCATCGAACCCAAAACTTACAATTTGTAAAAATCTCATCGTTTAGCTACAATACTCCGTGTCGTATGTGGTGAACAACCCTGTATAGGGTGAGTCTTAAACAAATGTAAATATTTTAAGGGCTGGTCGAACTCGATAAAAAAACATATTTTCTCTTTACTGTTTTTCAAATAAATCCAAAATAGAGTTATTTTACTTTGAAAATTTCCAAAAAAAGGATTTTTTGCTAAAATTTTAAAAACCACTGGATCTTTTTTGGATTTTCTTTCTTGTATATTTAATCTACTACCTATGTTGCCATATTATCAACAAATTATAAATTTTTAACTAAAAAAATATCCAAAAATGTCTTCAAAAGGTAACAAATTTTCAAATTTTTCGAGAAAAAATCTCATAATCGTGTTTCTGGGGTCGAAACATACTACCCCTAAAAATATATGAAGTTATTTAAGACTCGCCCTATATATTTATTCTCTCAGTAGTGCAATACAGGTACAGACGAGAAGTAAAAAATCATGTAGGTGGCGCCCCCTATAAGTAGGAGTCATAAGGCATCTTGTCACCAATTTCTTTTTGTTTTCATCAAAGGAAATAAATTTAAATTGGAATGCTCGGCTTCCCGTTAAAACTTATAATTGTTTTTGATTGTTTTGCCATAGAAATTGCTAAGAACTACAAACAAGGACAGAAAAAAATTCTAACTCTTGTCAAAAACAGAATCTTCAAAAATTATATATCTTCTAAAATTTAAACCGAGCTCTCTTTTTGGAAAAAATATTTTTTACGAATAATTTGGTACTATATACTTGACATTTCGAGTCAAATTTTCGTGACATTTATCGCCATGACACCTGGCACTTTGAGTGAAATTTAAAATGCTATTTTTTTAATTAATGTCAAACAAATTTAAATAAAATGTCAAAGTTGACATATGATATGTCATTCTATTCAGAATGACATATGCCATCATATAAGGTAAAAAAATACCAAGGGTGCTATTTATATATCCAGGGATTATATATTAGAAATGAAATTTCTAAACCCTGTAATCTCCGAAACGAAGACGCACCACCCGGTAACAGTTTTTTAATATTTAGTTTAGTAAAAAAACACGATCTTTTTAAGAACACCCTACAAATTGCTACAAATTCGTATATATTGAGTTCCGATGTCTGAGATTTTTGGCAGATATGTTCTGAGTGCCTCGATTGAAAGCAATTCAACTGATCATTTGATATTTTGATGGAAAATGTAAGTAAATTTATGTACATAAAACGGTAAAACAAATTCAAAGCTATTGAAAGGTAGGTAAATAAATTAAGGAGATGGCTGCAATAGATACGGTGAATAGGCACACCCCTATATGTAAATTTATTTGAGAAAAGCTTGTTTTTTGCTTTTTGCGTGATGTGTACATGTAATTGAATACTTACTCGTACTGTTGCAGACCCAATAATTCCTTCTCCTTGACATAGTTGCTTGGTATAAAGCCGATATTTCTGTAAAAAAAGAAAAAGTCTGTGGTTAGAAACAAATCGTTAGGATAATACTTTTTCCCACTCACTATGCAAGTTACAAAGTTAATAAAACTATTTAATTTGAAGAGTTGTATAACAAAATGTTAAATAACCTAAATAAGTAATGATAAACACTGGTATTATGGTGAAAAGGCTTATATTTTAACAAGTATAAGATAAGTCCACAGGGAAATATTAATATCTAAATATGTAAAACGTAAAATAATTACATATTTTCCGAGTGCATAGAACAACATTTATTCAAAATTACAAAACAATAGTAAATCAATATCCATACCATTTTATATTCAATTATAATACACATAATCCCTGTGCAAAACAAAGTTTTTTATGCACGAATTTTTTGTTCAATAATGCTTTAAAATCATGATTTTTTTAATAAAAATAAATATCCTAATAATATCACAGATTAGGTATCCTATAAGTATACAGATAAAAATCTTGTCCCTAATTCGTGGTACGAAAATTGTTTTTTTATGACGATGTGCAAACAAGTCAAATTTCCTGTGCGCAAAAATAAACTCGCGTAAAATAACAATAAACAGCGTAATAGAGAGATATCGCTAAACCGAATAGCGTGCATGAACGTTAATAAGGCCAGGTGTTATTTCATTTACGTGAGGTGGTATGTGGTATTAACTCTCTTCATTTATAGTTATCGGATCGGAAAGAATTCTGATCGCGTCGCGTCCGCTATTTAAACTTAACCTAACTTTAAATTTAAAACTTTGAAATTGTTTTGTTTACTAGGTATTTTAAAACTAAAGGGCTAAAGTGCTTATTTCCAGTGCTTTATTGTTCAACGTCTGCCAATGGGTTTAGGGCAACAAGCAACAAATTCTCTTAGAAGGTCTAAGTCGTCATCTGCTGTAAACCTAAGACTCTTTATAGGTTCTTTAGTATTGGAAGAGGTGGAATCCGTATTTTGGGCCATATTTATTTAATTAAAACTAATCCCAGCTACTTAAATATCAAATTACCTAATAAAACTAAAGCAATAATTCAAAACAATTCAAACATAACCTAAAATAAAAGATCTCGCCGGCCGGCTCCGGTTGTCAAATACCCGCACATGCCCATTTAAGCAATTTTTAAACGTTATCAGAGGTTATTTAGAAAGAGCGCTTGGTGTAATTGATCCGCAAATTACGTCAGGCGGTAACGTTATTAGCGGGTGTTGCGTTGACTCGCACATATCGTAACCATGATAAGGTACGCGTAAATACTGGATGACGCTATTCGGTTTTCCGATATCTCTCTAATAACTGTGCCGGTCAGGCGCTGTGCACAATTTTAGAGGCCATAAGTGGGCGTGCTATGTGCGCAAACTAGTCACCTAACTAGTGCCCGATTCCGAAAATTGGAACCACGAAAAACAATAAAGAAAAAACAAAGATTATAATCTGTGATAATATGGCAACAGAGGCAGTAGTAAATTTAGAGGAAGAAACAGTGTTTATTTCAAAATGTAATCCAAAGCTTATTGCTGCCAGGGCTAAGTTATTTTATTTTGAAAATAGAAAAAAAACACATTTTCCAGAAGTTATTTCCAAAATACAAAATTTTCTATTTTTTTCTCGAAAAAATCGTCCTAAGCGGGTTTTAGATGAATTTATTATTATTATTTTAGATTCAGATATTAAATATTTGCACTCATGTAAGATTCACCTTGTATAATTTAAAATAATAGATATATGTAGTTATTGTTTATTAGCGAGATTCACAAAATATAATTTGTTAACTCAAATACGTATCTGAAAAGTGTTCAAAGTTAAAAAACTTTAAAACCACTTAATTCTTTTTACAGGATGGCAACATGAGAAGTATAATAATCATTGCTGTCCAGTAAAAAGGTAATAAATCAAAAGACATCTTGTTTGTTGCCTTATCAGAAACGGGCGAGAAAGAAAAATAGGCTTCATCGTTCGAATGGTTTTCCATATCTAACGATGTCTGACACAGACACATCAGAAGCTTTGCATACATTAACATACCATTAGCCAGAACAATAGTACTCGTTATACCTTGCCTTAGAGTAATAAAGATGTAAGTGAACTGTTTGATTTATACGTGACGTTTATTTTTTAGGTTTAATAAAATAATATATAAATACATATTTAAAGTATAATTTTAAATATGCAGAAAATTTAGTATAAAAAGCCTCAAAATAGAGCTGCAATAAGTCATTTTTAAAAAGACTTAAATCTTAAGTCTCAAGTCATTTCTAAAATCAAAATTTGGCTTAAATCATTTTATTTTAAGTCAAGTCATTTTTGTATATAAAGACATATAAATAAATAAATATAAATAAATAATTTCAAACATTGAAAATAATATAAACAGTAATCGAGCAACAATTTGTACACTCGTTGAATTTGACACTTGATTGTCAGTTTAATAATATATTTTTGCACTTTTGTGCTTAGGCGTAATAGTGCTATACTTTTATGCCTAGGAGTTAAAATGACAAAAATTAGTACTTTTGAGACGTTTGAAAAAAAATCCTTTTGATCTGAAATCTGAAGCGAGCGACTTTTTTGCGGAATATATTGGTGACCGATGTGGAAAAATGACACGCGCCATAGAATTGTTGATGTTATCGGTATCGGGCAGAGTTATCTATACTAATATAGGTATAAAATCTTTAAGTGACTGACATACTGATTAATCACGATCCTGCTCAAACCACTCAACGTAAGAAGCTCAATTTTGGCATACAGGTTGATTCTAGGGTGTAGAGGTTCGATTAGAAGGGATTTTTCGAAATTCCAGTTCCAAGAGGGTGAAACCACCCCTCAAATATTACAATATTTTTTATTTAAAAAACGGTCAAGTTTCCGAAAAAAACGCTTAAACACGTATATTTTATTTTGTTTTTTACATATTTTAAGATTTTTTAAAAATGTATACAGGGTGTTTCGAAAAATCTGGTCATTGATTAATCGCAATCCTGCTTAAAGCGCTTGACGTAAAAAGCTGATTTTTGGAAAACAGATTGACTTTAGGGTGTAGAGGTTCGATAAGAAGGGATTTTTCGAAACTCGAATTCTAAGGGGATGAAACTATCCCTCAAATATTAAAATATTTTTTATTTAAAAACCGGTGAGTTTTTCGGAAAAACTCTTAAACACGTATATTTTATTTTGTTGTTTTACATATTTTAAGATTTTTTATAAATTTATACAAGGTGTTTCATAAAGTATGACCATTGAGTAATCACGATTCTGCTTAAATTGCTTGACGTTTAAAGCTGATTTTTGGCAAACGGATTGAATGTGGTGTGTAGAGGTTTGATATGGAGGGGTTTCTCGAATCTCAAATTCCAAGAGGCTGAAAACGACCCTCAAATATTACAATATTTGTTATTTAAAAAACAGTTAGTCTTTCAGGAAAACGCTTTGACAATCATAATTTATTTGGTTTTTTTACATATTTTGAAATTTTTTAAAAAATCATACAGGGTGTTCCAAAAAGTTGGGTAATTTCTTAACCACGATCCTGCTTAAACTGTTTGACGTAAAAAGCTTATTTTTGGCAAACGGATTTTTCGAAAGTCAAATTCCAACGAAATGGAACTACCCCTCAAATATTACCAAGTTATATAATATTATCGCCATATTGTTTTTTATCATGCTGACATACCTAAATGTGAGAAAATTTTATCCTGTTTGTATGGTAATGTAAATTCTTGCTTTGCTTTATCATCACCATTACAAATGATTAATTCAATGCGAACGAAGTCGCTGGTACACGCTAGTTAAGTTATAAAGATTTAGCCATTTAGGATAGGGCTTTAATTGGAAATAAGTCCTAGTTATTTGAAAATCCGATTTAAATATTGTTTTGAATTAATTAAAATAAAAAAATCGGATTTAAATATAAAAAAATCTGATTTAAATAAAAAAATCTGATTTTTTGATTTTTTAAATAATCATGATTTTGTCCAACCCTGCTTAAAATCAAATGACTTATGTCATTAAAATGATTTAAATAAAAAAGAAAGTTTTCTGTAAGCTTGCAGCTCTGATAGTAGTATTTTCTGTAAAGATCGTAAAAACTCTAGACATAGTTTTCAATAGCCAACCTAATTAGCATCGGCTTTGGAATGTTTTCTTCTGACACCTTGCAATTTAAGGCGTTTCAATCGCGATTACACGCCGGTATTGTTTCGATCACTTGCAATCTCATTTATATTTTCTTAAATGTTTTGTTTAATACCGGAAAAACTACTTCAACGAAATAATGTATAAATTCAGCGTGTTTTTTATCGAAAATTTTATCCAAAAAGATAAAAATCATAAAAAAACAAAAACTACTTCTATGAACAATTTGTTAAAATTTTTATTTCAAAAATTAAAAAATAATAGATATTGTAGATTTGAATGTTCCGTTTTATAACATTTTGTTGCAATATACAAAAATCGCGCATTCCAAAAATATCTGAATTTAATTGATTGATTAAACAAGCATTGTATTTTTTTTAAATGTTTTTAAATCGTTTCAATTATTGAGAAGGTATTTGTATTATTTTTTATCATTTTGTTCGTATTGAGTACTTGAAATAAATATACAGGATACAGTTTGTATAAAAATCAAATATTGTGAGCATAAGTAGTAGAATAGCTTACAGCTAAACTTCGCCCACAAATTGTAACTATCTTTTTTTTATAGTACAATAATGACGATTTATTATTATTATTATTATTATTATTATATGTAGGTTAAAGGAATGCGTGGCTAGATAGAAGACTAGCCTCTACTGGTCTCAACCACAAAACACCCCCTTTAGAACTTTTTCTTTAATGGCCATAAACTGTAGTAAAAGAAATCTAAGGTAAAAGACTAACAGTCCGAACAAAGACTAGAAGCGACACCCATCATAAAATGGTGCAAAAATTGCGAAAATTTAATCATCTAATTTGACACCAGGGGTCGCGCTTAACTTTTTTAATTTTAATTCA